CATGGGTGCAGTGAAGGGGGGGGGAGGCTGGTAGGGTGGCGCGTTGGGGTCCTCGTCCCGCAGCGGCGTGTACTCCCCGATGGTGTCCTGGTTGAGCGGCGTGGTCTCCGGCATGCTCTGGTTGGGGTACTCCGGGGGGGGCAGCGGGGCTTTCTCCTCCTGGAGGATGAGGGGCATGCTGGAGGACGGCGGAGGCTTGGAGTCGTCCAGCTCGTCGGCAAAGATGATGGGCACGCCTTTCTTTATGAAGGTGGCCTGGTCTTCGATGGTCAGCTTCCCTTTCCTCTTCTTGCGGTAGCAGATCATGGCAATGATGCCGGCCACGAGGAGGATGGCGGCCACCACCACGGCGGGGATGACGGTGTGCAGGTACACGTCGTCCTCACTGCTCTTCTCGGGGTCTTTGCCTGCTGCCACTGTCGGTGTCGCCTCCGAGATCACCCTTCCGTCCTTCGTCACGGGGATGAACTGGACGTGCCTGCAGCTGCCAGAGCCGACCACCGACACGTTCAGAGGCTTGAATTCGGGCTGCAAGACGTTGGAGAAAGCCGGGCTCGGCCCGCCGGAGTCATCGGCAATTTTTTTACTCAAAGTCCGGATCTGCTCCCGGGGGCAGGGCTCCAAGGGCAGCGTGTTGTTCGTCCACTCCACTACGATGGAGCCTTTGGCGATGTCCTGCACTGTGATGGTGCTGCTGTTCCTGTCGCCAAACGCCAGAGCCAGCTTCTTCACCAGCATGATCTTCTTATTGATGTCGTTCACCACCGCGTTGTGGTCCCCTTCCAGCCTGGCCTTGAACTTCACCGGAGACTTGTCCCCGTGCGGGCGTTTGTGGACATGGATTTCGAAAGCATCCACAGCGAAAAGCCCGCCTTTGTCTGTCGCATACATGAAGTACTCGTGCTTCCCGATGTGGTTGTGGTCCGGCATGCCGTACATGAGCTGGCTGGTGCTGTTAAACTGGACCCACGAATTCTCCTCTATCATCTGCTGCTCCTTCAGCTTCAAGGTCAGCTGCAGTTTGTCAGTGGTGGTATCTTCCTTGTCGTAGAAGGTATCTGACGGTATTTTAACCTCGAAGTAGGTGCCCTCCCACGCGTCGACCCTGTCGATATGGTTCGTCAGCTTGGGTGGCTCGTTTGGCTCCCAGGGCCGGGGGATCCCGCTAGCTGTGGTGCGTACGCGGGTTGGCGGGGAGGCCGTTGTCAGCTTGGAGATGGGGGATCTGGTCGTGCTGGGAGGCTTCGTCGGACGGGGCGTTTTGGGTCTTCGAGTAGGCCTTCGCGTCGTCGCCGTGGAGGAATCCGTCGTGGATGGCGTGGCTGGCTTCAGAGTGGAGACTCTCGGTTTCTTGGTGGTAGTTGTGGGCGGTGTGATCACTGCCGTGGGCTCTACGTACCCGGGCATCGTGGGGCGAATTGGCACGGAGGCCGTGCCGGTGCCTTCTGCTACCCTGGTTGGCTGGATCGGTCCCAGAGTGGGCGTCTGGACGATGGGACCCCTTGTTCTGATGGTGACCGTAGGCTTCCTTGGCAGCGGTATGGGCTCCCGGACAGGGGGTGCCGTCGTCTCCGTGGGAGGCGCGATGGCGGGCGACGTCGGGGTGGGGACGATCCTGGTCGGCGGTTCTTGCGCGGCAGTAGTGGGCGGCCCAATGGCAGTCAAAGGCGTAGGGGTGGCGTTGATCTGCCGCCGCATCCTCTTTGGGAGGTGAGGTTTCTTGTTAGCAATGTGCCAGCCAACAACAGGGTAGCCAAGGCGGGCAGACATGGTTCCTTCCTTAGCTGGAGCTTCCACCTTGCTGATGTTGGGGACACTGTTTTGGCTCAGAGAACATCCCAGTTTCCATGAGAGTAAGGCCCCGTTTTCCACCACCTTCTTTGCATTTCCCGGTCCAGCCATGAAGGCCGACATGTCAAAGAGTCTGTTATTTACAACAGGAACCAACTTCATGTTATGAAGTTCCACCTCCGAGAAGCTTCTCATTCTGTTTAAGAGTTCAATCCTCTGCTTTGGTGTCATTTTTGTTAAGTCGGCATCCAAAATGACAGTCAGGATAGTGACCGGCTCTTCCGAGCCACACACGAATGGCGCTGTGTCACCCGTGTCTTGGATGGCCACTCGCACCGACTGAGGCTCGTTGTGGTCTTCTTGGTGGACCTCAACGGAGAAGACATTTGTGGTCTGTGGCACGTAGCTCCCGTTCGGAGAGGGCTGCAGCGTGGTTACCGAGATGTAGTGGACGCCCTTATCCGTGTCAAGGGGCAGCCCTTCCAGGGAGCTGCTCTCCGCATTCCAGTGTAACCAAGAAGGCAAGGAGTCCTTCCCAGCTTCGGAGATCTACCAAATAAGAGAGAGAAGGTGCCTTTAGAAGAACAGCATTAGGACAGGTTCTAACAGCAATAACACTTAATTTAAAGGATTAAAGAAAAAAAATCTGAAGCGTAACAACTGGGGAAGGAACATCCTGGCCAGAGCGGGACAGCCTGTGTCTCCTCTGCATGGTGGCAAGGATGAGCTCTGTAGGGTACACTGGTCCCAAAGGGCTTAAGGAGCCACGGGAGGTCATCAAGTCCTGCAAAGGTCCCTCGCCTGCAGGTACCAGCTCTCTAGCACTTGCTGTGCAACTACTAAGCACAAGCGGTTCATTTTCTCCGAGGGCAGAAGGGGAGTTCAAGTCACGGGGAGAGCTACGAAGCTATAAAGTTATGTGATACAGCAGAGCTGATCCAACAACTGCCCTCCTCCCGCTCCCTCTTCTTCCTCTCCCATCCCTGCCATCTCGCTCCTTTCCTCACCTGATCA